GGAGCGGTAGCCCCTGCCGCGGGTCCCCGCTTGTCCTCGCTGCGCGCGGGCGCTGCGCCTGGCCACGGTGCTGGCCCCTGGCCGCTTCCCTGGCGCCGTGGGGACAGATGTGCCATGGAGCCGGGTGAGCAGGGCTGCGGTTAGCGGGGCTGCTCCGCGTTGGCTCCCGTTAGCCCCGGCTCCAGCTGCACCGGGATTTTAAGCGAGCGAAGCCGAGTGGAGTTGTTCGGGTTTCCTCTCCGTGCATCGTCTCCTGCAGTCCCTGGGTACCTGTTTCTGGACTCGAGCATCTCACTGCCTCCTTGCAGCGTTAAGGGCCCTGAGTGGAGTGGGAAACACAGAGGTTGTTGGTGCAGCTCCTCCTGGAACAAGGGAGAGGCACCTGCCGCTTCCCTGGCTTCCTCCGGGAGCGCTGGGCAGGAGGAGGGGCCGGGGTGCAGGAGCCCTCCGGGTGCAGGAGCCCTCCGGGTGCCGGCGCTCCGGGCGCCGATCCCGCTCCAGCCTTTCCCCCGCGACAGGTCGGCTGCGCGTTTGGTCGGGAAAGAACCAAGCTCTGACCCTCCGTGCCCTCTGGTTAATCATAACTTTCCTTTTCCAGGACAGGAAGCCTGAGAGGGAATTCACCCTGGATGAAGACCGTTTCCTGAAGCCGAGTGTATTCCAGGAACGGTAACCCAAATGTTTCTGTGTCCGTGGAGTATATCTCCCTTTTGAAGCGACCTGGACTGAAGGTAGGTGCTGGTGGCGCACTGGGCTGGGCGCTGCGCACGGGGCTGCTCTGACTAGTAAATGCCTCTCCAAGCTTAAACTCCAGTTTAATGCACAGAGCAGACGGGAAAAGGATGGAGTTTAGGTTCCATTTTTTTTCCTGGTGACTGATTATACTTTTGTCTTGGCATCTGCTCGTGCCTATTTTGGGAAGTAGCAACTTGGAAATGCCACACAACGAGGTTTGCCATTGGGCAGGACGGCAAATGAGCAGTGGTTACTGCTGTTTTTTATAACGTGCGAAATTGGAAGCAGGCAGCAAAGCTCGGGCAAGCACTTTAAAGGACCGCGAAGGCAGGTCACACTGTCCAGCCACTGGGAGCCAAACCGGACGCGCCGGGCGCGAGCGGCGTCCCCAGCTCCTGCGGTGCCGGGCGGCCGGGCTGCTGGGACACGTTGTGCCATGTTGTGCCCGAGCTCCTCTCTTCTCCTCGGTACCTGGGACTGGCCAGCGCAGAACAGAATTTAGCCTGATGGCCTCCTCTGTCTGGCAATGCTCTGATGTTGCTGCTTTGCACAAGAGCCGTGAAACCCTTCCCAGACTTGTTCTCCTTCTGCTGCTTGCGGGAAAGCCGCTGTCCCACCACTAAAAGCAGCAGGGCTGCCCGATTTGGGCACTTCTCCTGTTGGCAATTCACTTGGAAAGGTTTTCCTAGCGCTGCAAAGGCAGCGGTGCCTTTGGCTGCGCTTTGGCGTGCCGGGCTCCGGGTCAGAACCACGGCAGTGCGGAGGGGCCCCCGCTGCCCCCGTGCCCTGCTGGACCCTGCGGCTGTGCCAGGCCGGCGCGCCGGGAGGGCCCCGCGGAGCTCCCGCTGTGGGCGATGCTCCTGTCACTCGTGTGCTCCCTGTGGGAGCATCGGACGTCCCTCTCGCCTCGCTGGCTGCTGCTCTGTACTGAGATCCTTGAGCAGAAGCTCCCAGGTCTCTTCCAGACGGTTGTAACGAGCAGGATCCGTTGTCCTCGTGCGCTTGTTAACATGCTCTTGGTCTGCAGCTCTTGGCATCGGCCTGTCTGCTTAAAGCTAACGATTCCGTATCCCGAGTAGTGCTGCCAACTTGCTTTCTTCTGGTTTGCTTATGAACACGTGGAGCAGCACAAGTTATTTTTCTGTTGCCCTTTCATTTCCTCCGCTTTACCCAGTTTCAGTTCCCGAGAAACTGAGCTTTCCTTTGAAGCTGTTCGGGGAAGCCCCCGTAAAATGTTTTTGTGGAAGTCGGGGTGAAGCCCTCGGTCTCGCCGTCCTTGCACAGGCATCCGAGTCCTTCCGGAATTCCCATTTGGGGCCTGACTTTCCCCTGTGGAAGCTCCGGTGCTTCCGTGTTGCTACAGCGTGTTGGGGTGTTTTGGTATCGTGTTACAGTTTGCTTAAGCCAGTTTCAGATTTCAGGTTGACCAGGTTAAATAAAGGGATACTTTATTCCCTGGAATTGGTTGTTCAGTAACTGCGTTTTGGAGCTTCAGAGCCCTCGTGAAGACCTTGTTGTCCTCTGAGTTACGGGCGTTTTCTAAAACTTCGTGTTGGTAGTTTTGTTAGACCCCAGATTTTTATCTTCCTCGTTTGAGGAAGCTTTAGTGCAGTATTTCATTCTTTAATGAGCATAAATCATCATACATTGAGCAAAAAAAAAGGCAAAAAGCATAAAATAATATTAATGTTATCCATATGACCAATCCATGCCTTGTAAGACTAAAGACAGTGGCTGAAATAATTGGGATCAGAGGAAGAGCCCTCAGTGATGATGTGACAGCTTTAGTTATGCTCGTCCTTAGTGTTCAGTTACAGAAATGATGGTAGAGGAAAGCCAGAAATATTCAATAAATACTTTATTTTTGGGAAGAAGTAGGATAACGCGCTTCTCAAAGTTTCCACTTAGTTATTAAGTGGAAAATGTTAAGTGTTTTATCAGGAATAGCTTAATTAAAAAAGCGCGTGCTGGTGGTTACCCGGGTGTCCAGGGGGGAGCAGTTGCCTGTGGGGAGGCCTGGCTCTCCGACGTTCCTTTTCCTGCCGTTGGAGCACTGAGAACTGAACAAACGCACCAAGCAATGGAAATAGAGTTCAGAGTCACCCGGGGGGTTATGGGAAATAGGAGATGAAGTAATTTTTATTGTAGCCAGAGAAATCCTAAGAATATTGCAAGGTTTTGTAGGCTTTGAGGTACCTAAAAATAGTACCTTTTGGTTGGTGAATTTTGAGCAGCTTTTAATTTTGCAGAGGTCTCCCTGCCCGACCTGAGGGATCTCGGGAGGGCGCTGGGGAAGAGCCGCCTCCGCCTTCCCCGGCGCGACCCGGGCTGAACCAGGACACAAGGGAGAATCCCTGGGAATGAGATAGGGGAGCCAGGAGGGGCCTGCCCAGACCGCGGCCTGAGCGAGGAGCTTTTGGCGTGGTGGCTTTAGTGAAGGGTGGCTTAGGAACGAGCACGGACTCCGTGGAGGACGTGGGGAGGGTTAAAGGCAATGAAGGAAGAGAACCGCCATGGCAAAGCTGTTAAAAACCAGGCTGAAGAATAAGCTTGCCTAGTTTGAAAGCTAGAATTTGAAAAATAAGGTTGCCACAACTGATGTGTTTACCCCTAAAAATCCCGGAACCCTTGTATTCTGTTCGGTTCATGCTCTTTCCCGTTCCCTCTCTGCTGCCTTTCTGCACCGCTGGAGCACAGTGCTCTTTCCCGACTGTCTGGAAAGCACCTGCCTTCCTCAAAAGCAGTTTGTTATCATAAATGTATAGAATCAATCTCCTTTACAAAGCTGGCACGTTCCTTGCTGTGACTTGCCGTGGGGAGCTGTGCTCTTCATTTGTTTTGTTTTTACATGTGGTCTGTTAGCTCGCTCTGTTGGTGGCAGCCTTCAGTAGAATTATACTTATTCTGCCAACTTGATAAAGAATATTTACTTTGCAGAAAGTCTTATTTTTGGAATGCCATGCCAAGCACATTATAAAGTGTATGCAAGGCTGTTTCTGCTAGTTGCCTTGCAGTCTATAGCTGTCAGCCCCTATGCAACACAAGATGGGCAAATCCTCTTCTCTTACTCCATAGCTCTGTTTCATAAAAAATTTCTAGATCTCTGTGGTATCAGTAATTTTGAATTCTTCAGATATTAAAGAGGTGGAAGGTGGAGGGGGAAGCTGCCGTTTCTGCACACGGATTGAAAGTATACCAGAATTATTTTGGGTGTGAATTAAAAGATGATTTTAAGGAAAGTATTTGCTAAGCTTGCTGCCCCAATCAGGTTACCTAAGGCTGGGTACCAAGTGTGCCAGGTGACTGAATTAGCTCCTTGAAAATAAGCAACTTGGATCTTTAATTCTGTGCCACTGCAAGAAGGGTGAATGAAAAGCGATGCGTGAAGAGCCCGGATGGAGTTTGGAGAGGGGTGGAGATGTTAGGGCCGCTGTCAGCACTTGCTTCACAGCTGCCGAAGCCCAAGGCCTTGAGCCTCCTTGCAGCACCGTCCCGCAGCCGGGGGACTCGGGCGCTGCTCTGACATCTCCTGCCGCATCGCAGTCTGATCCACATCCCAGAAGAACGTTTAGGACTGTCCACGTGTGGTGATTGAAACATGGTTCTGTTTTCAGGCCCTCAGCGCAGTCTACGTTCTTGCTGGGACAGAAGATCTTGAGCTGCTGCGTTAGCAACACCTGAGCAGAGAATATTGTCATTAGCTTCCCTTCCCTGCTGAGGAAAACCTGCACATTGGACAAGTGTCATCATAACGGTTGTAACGATTATATTTCATTTTTTCCCTCAAATATATGGGCTAGAAACATTTTTTGAATAAATATATCAGGAGTTACCTTGAGCAGCAAGAATGAGAGCTTTGATTCCTAGACATTTCTGCTCATTCTGATACAGCTTTTCCTCATTCTTGGCTGGGGAAGGAAAGTGAAACTTGAGCAGCTCCGTTACGGGGGTTATTTTGAGTATCTGACCGTTTTCTGCAAGTAGCTCGTTGGGGCCTCAAACCCCTTGAGAGCGATGGTTCTTACCGACTTGGACATGACTTGCGCTGTTCAGCCTCTCGTGCTTGGTGGAAAGTGTCTCCCAAGGGTGGTTCACAATTAGAAGCCAAAGTCATCTTCACTTAAGGGCAATGGTCAGATAGTCCAGCATTTGCAGACAAAGAGCGAGACAGGTAAGATGATGTATTGGTGACAGAGTTTCAGTACTTTTTCCTGGTGAGGGTGGATGTTTATTTGTTTTTCTTCCTTTGGCAACTGTTACTTCCTCCAGGAAGGCGCGTGGGAGGTTGGTGGTAACGATAAAATCCTAGAAAAAGGGCTAGGAGAGCTCACACGCCTCCCTAGTTGCACTGTGTTGCTTTTCTGATGTGAAATGTCAGTGATAAAGAGGTTAGTGCCTCCAGCAGGTCAGGGAGGGGATCCTGCCCCTCTACTCAGCCCTGGTGAGGCCACATCTGCAGGATTGTGTCCAGTTCTGGGCTCCACAGGACAAGAGGGATGTGGAGCTGCTGGAGAGAGGCCAGCGCAGGGCTACAAGGATGATCAGGGGCCTGGAACATCTGCCCTGTGAGGAGAGGCTGAGGGAGCTGGGCCTGTTCAGCTGGAGAAGAGAAGGCTGAGAGGGGACCTGAGCAGGGTCTAGAAGTACCTCAAGGGAGGCAGTGAGGAGGATGGGGCCGGCCTCTTTTCACTGGTGGCACCAACAGAACTAGAGGAAATGGCCAGGCTGCCCAGAGAGGTTGTGGAGTCTCCTTCTCTGGAGATCTTCAAACCCGCTTGGACGCAGTCCTGTGCCACGTGCTCTAGGTGACCCTGCGTGTGCAGGGCTTGGACTGGATGATCCCTAGAGGTCCCTTCCAACCTTCAGCATTCTATGGTTAGAAGCTCCTGGGGATGTGCAGCCGGCCTCCCCGGAGCAGGTCTCGAGCAAACGTTGGCAGATGTGCAGTCCCCTTGGCAGTCTCTAGCACTTTGTGTTTGGGATGTGAGTAATCCGA